TTTTTTTTTGTTTTTTATTATCTTTAGCGTTCTGTGTTATATAATGTTTTTTACTTTGATGTTGCGTTCTTTTCTATGCCAATGCATAGGAAGCGAATTTGGTTTTGGGTGGCGATGAGGGCAAAGAGTGCACCTATACCAAAGGTTATATGAAGAGGCAGACGATTTTCTCGTGCTTGACCTGCACTCCTGATGGGAATGCCGGGGTTTGCACAACATGTAGCTTGTGTTGCCATGATGGCCATGAGGTATTCTCAGTATAATCTTTCTGTGATACATATCTCATTAACTTATGGGTGTAGATTTGTGAACACATGTCAGTGTTATTTATAGGTAGTGCTCATAGCGCTATATTTGCCAAGCATTACAATTTATCAAATGCATTTATAAGAGAGTTTCTTCAGTAAAATTAAATATTAACTTATTATGAGGCCATGAAAGTATCTATAACGTCAATCTATCCAAGTTTAAAAATTTTAATGTTACTGCATCTATGGTTCATTTTGTTCTTTTTTGTTTGTTTGTTTTGTTTTGTTTTGTTCTGTTTTTTGTTTTTGTTTTGTGGTTTTAATTTCCAGTTGTGTTGTCGTGTTATATGGTAATCACACATGACATTTGGCATGCATTAACTACCCTTTGGGAAGAGAGAAGGGAGGAGGGGAGTGGGTGGGGTCATGTGAATATTTGTCCAAGGATCCTTGCTTATTCAAAACAAACCATTTGGATATAATGAGTCTCATTAGCCATGGTTACTGACATCTAGCTTTAATCTCCATGATAGTCCTGCTTTAATCTCCATGATAGTCCTGCTTTAATCTCCATGATAGTCCTGCTTTAATCTCCATGATAGTCCTGCTTTAATCTCCATGATAGTCCTGCTTTAATCTCCATGATAGTCCTGCTTTAATCTCCATGATAGTCCTGCTTTAATCTCCATGATAGTCCTGCTTTAATCTCCATGATAGTCCTCCTTATCGAGTTTGGTTTTCATACTTTGAACTTAACTGATTTTTCTTTTATGTTAATGACTTGAATTTCTACCTTACATATTACTTCAAATTTAAATGAAATACTACGTATTATATCCGTGACAGTGTGGTTACTTCATAATACAGTACTAGTATTGGCTTAATCGCTTATATTCCGTTTGTCATTTTATTAATGGAGAGGACCTGTAATGATGTGCATTCATATCTCTGCATCACTGCTTGCATTTGATGTGCATTCGTATCACTGCATCACTGCTCGTATCTCTGCTCGAATCTGTTTTTTCGTTTTCTTTGTCAAATCAGGTTTTTTTATTAAATATGCAATCTTGTCATTCGTACCTTTTGTTTTATAATCTCGGATCTTGTTGTATTACTTTTTGCTTGCATTTGATGGTAGTTACTTTTTGCTATTTGGAGTAGATTGTGGAATTGTGGACCAAGAGAAACTTTAGGTGTGATTGTGGAAACTCAAAGTTTGGGGAGTTCTTTTGCAAGCTTTTCCCAAACAAAGATATCGAAAATGTGGAGAATTCATATAATCATAACTTCAAAGGTTCATATTGCACCTGCGGTCGCCCCTATCCTGATCCAGAAGCCGAGGAACAGGTAGAGATGATTCAGTGCTGTATTTGTGAGGACTGGTTTCATGAGGAACATATTGGGCTTGAATCTTCTGATGAGGTTGGTAGTATATCTCTTTCACATGTCTTTCAATCCTTTTCTATAAGGCTGCCTTCTAGTTTAATTTTGTTTATATCTTATATCTGTACAAGTCATTCCAATGATTACATGCCCAGCGGTAAAAGGTGTGGAGTTTTATAGGGGAGAATTATCCATGGTGCCATATTAGATAACTGGCATAAAAGGAAAAGTTGTTAGTTGGGTGATAAATTTCATATTAGTCCCTATAAAACCTATCACTGAGTAGATTTTAATTAGTGAAGGGAACGTGTTATACATGTGTTGTAAGGTTGTAGATTTTATTTTATTGTAATTAAACAGGGGGCACTTTTTTCCATACCTTTTTTCTTGGTATCCATATTATTTTGTGTTTCCATATTGTATTTAAGTTATTGCGAAGTTTGATCATTGTAATATATATGTAATGCGGTTATACACTGTTTCGAAGTTTATTCATTCATCCTTTGATATTTAAAAAAAAAAACATAAAAAATCCAAATTTTAAGGAGGACTTAAATCCTGCATCTTCTTGATAATAGCTGATGTAAAATTCAATTTATGAGCCTTGTTCTAAACCTCTATATTTCATGCCTCTTTTTCATGGACTGTATCTTTGTTTGAGGTTTGCCCGTCATACACCTATTAAAAGGTCCTAGTGAGTGTCAATCTGGTTATCGGCTTTTCCCAGGGATTGAGTGTTAAAGACCTTGTTGTTCTTTTAGTTGTAGTAATTTGTCTACTTGGATGATTGTTAACTTGTTGTGCTTGCTGGTATGGCTCATTTGAGAGTTGTTTTGTTGTGTGTTTGGGAGACTTACCACTCACTTACGATGGTTGTTTTATGCTTCAAATGGTTTCATATATTTTTTTTACTAACTTGGTAATACAAAGGCAAAGCAGTGAAACATTTCAGATATTGAAATTGAACTTTTATTAGACTTTATGCAACTAGGATTAGATTGAGAAGATTTGTCAGTGAGAGTCCTAACTGTTGATTGGCTTTGATTTTGCTGTTTCTGCAATATTAACCTGGTGCTTCTCTTTTCTCTTTTTTCTTTTTTGCCCCTTGCAAATAGCGTGAAGATGTAGCTTATAATTCTGACTACGGATCCCCCATCCACACTCATTGATCTTCTTCCTTTCTCCGGTGGTGATGATAACTCAGCTTTAGCACCTGAGCGGTAAGCTATTACACATTAATGGGATGCACCTTGGGAGGGACCAATATAAGTTGTATGAACTTACGGCACATTAATGGGATGCACCATTTGTGAATTAGCCTTAAAATTAATTTTTTGTTCTCATAATCTAAAACAAGTCTGTTACAGGGATAAATTGTATAATTGATCTAATTGTAAATTGATGAGTTACTAATGTTTTTAATCTTTTGTATAATTGATCAATTACTAAAGCTTTTAATATATTTTTTTGCAGATTGGATTGGGGTGGCATTTTTGACGTGCAACAATGATGTAATTTGTTTGAATGCTCATTTTTGTTTGATAAGGATACACATACAGTTACACTAGTTATTGTTGGATTTTTGATGGAATTGAACAAGTTATAACTTTTGGATATTTTGTGGATATTTCACTATTTTATTATATCAGGATGAAATTATTTGTAATGATGAATGTATATCTTCATTTTGTTAATTCGTAAATGTGTTGATAACAGGTTAGGTTAAGTTGTGATGGAATTGTTATATTCAACAGGTTTCAACATGAACAGGGTCATATTTGTTGAACTAAAATTTAGATTTTGATAAAATAGGTATATAATGTGGAAAAAAATATTATGGAATTATTGACAAAATTTTTCATCCCTAAAGAAGGTTTTTTTTTGTCTCTTATTTAGCTTAGGTGGATAGGTGGATGATTAATTTTGTCATAAATTCTTTATTTCGTCGCTAAATGAATTTGTCATGACAAAAAATATTGTCACATTTTGTCACTATTACCCTCAATGTGTGACGAATTTTTTTTGACATCATTTCATCATTTTTAATGATGAATTTCTTTTTATCTCTATTGGTAACTTCTTCGACAAAAAATTTTCGTCTTCGTTTATATTAAACGTGACAAAATTATTTTGTCTCCATTTCTTATATTTATGACAAAATACTTTTGTCTCTAATTTCTCCTCTAATGACAAAATATTTTGTCGCTAATTACTTATAAGTATGTTCCCAACAGAGTGTATTGGAGACAAAACAAATTCGTCACAAATTTATCATTTTTAATGATGAATTTGTTTTTGTCTCTATTGGTTGCTTTTTTGACAAATTTTTTTTGTCTTCGTTTATATTAAACGTGACAAAATTATTTCGTCTCTATTTCTTATATTTATGACGAAATACTTTTGTCTCTAATTTCTTCTTTAATGACAAAATATTTTGTCGCTAATTATTTACAAGTATGTTCCCAACAAATTGTATTGGAGACAAAAAAAATCGTCACAAATTTATCATTTTCAATGACGAATTTTTTTTTTGTCTCTAAGACCTTTAGCGACGACCCTTTGGAGACAAAATGGGTGACGAAAAATGTTCGTCGTAATTAGTTTGGGTGACGAAATATATATATTTTGGGACAAATTTGTTTCGTCTTTAAATCCCAAATTTGTTGTAGTGACATAAAATGTGGGTTCCTACACGTGGAGTACATCCCCTATCTCCTCCTACACAAAACAATGTATGCAACCCTTTGGAGACAAAACGGGTGACGAAAAATGTTTGTCGTAATTAGTTTGGGTGACGAAATATATACATTTTGAGACAAATTTGTTTCGTCTTTAAATCCCAAATTTGTTGTAGTGAAATAAAGATGAAAATATGTAACCGTAGTGCAGCATAGGACATATTCAAGTCAAATTGAATTTAGTAAGCATGTCTTCTCAAAAGTTATATCCTCTTTGAAGTACAACATGACACAAAACTTGAAGCCTTTCACATTTAATGATTTAACATATCAACTTGCTTGGCAGCTGATCCAAACTAACATATCATCTGAAAGAACATGTGCAAAAAATTTAGCCCATATGTTCAAGGTAGACATAATAATAACGGCAACAATCAAAAAACAAGATACTGAAAATCAAACCTTTTTCTTTTTATTAGAGACACCTTTCTCTTTTTGATGGATATCATGCTCTTCCTCTTCAGAATCTGAGTCAACCTTCTTTGAGGAAGAATCTGCGGCAGTCTCATCTTTTTTAGCGTTCTCCTCAATGAATACAGTGGAAGAAATGAGAAAAACTTATAGGAAAAAATATATAGCAAACAAAAGATACTTTAATATTTGTACAAAATTCCATTTACCTCAGACCCCACAATTTCCTTAAAATTTGAAATGTTGTTGCTGCTGTTGCTGCCAAAAGTTATAGTCTTTTAGAAACAAATAAGACGTACAAACATAATCATCTATACGATCATGCATTGTTTGCAAAAAGCGCACATAATTGCTTGTTTGCAACTTGGTTCTAAGTTACATAGACTCAGATATGGTATGTGTCAATGTCGTTTTAATATGTTTCTAGGTGAGGGATTTATCTAATTTTTAAGTCAAGATATCATTATACAATTAGGTTTACATTTGGTAAATACTTCTTTTATCTTTTAGGAAATTCTTTACATAAACAGATTTTCACTAGATTTTTTTACTGTTACACACAAAACAATGGGTCTCACTTGTATTTATTAATTTGGACTATTAATTGTGTAAAATAAAAAATAAAAACTTGATAAAAAAAAACCATTTACGTATAGCAGCACTCTAGCAAAAAAATCTGTTTATATAGAGTATTTTCCTAAAATATAGCATTTTATGCATAAAAGTGAAGTGCTTACTCATATAGTAAATTTGATTATTTACATGTACTTGTTTATTGTATGTCTAAGTAGGTGTATTGGACATAAAAATAAAAAGTAAATAAAAATAAAGAAATACAATTTAAATTTTTTTAAAAAAATGAGTAATATTTAAACTACCCACCTCATTCAATTCACTTCTAGACTCTAAAATTCAAATGAATAATATTTAAACAGAAGTCCTAATCAATGCCTTCAACCTGACCCCTCCCAGAACAAGCTCAAAAAATGACATTGCTGCATTTCATTCCCCACCCTTTACTTAATATGAGGAATCAATAGATGACGACAAAATGAAAATATTGGATATGATTATGTTTTAAAATTTGTAAGTAATTAAGGAAAAACCAATATTATTAAATTTTACTAAATATAATACATAATTAAATAGTAGAGGGTCAAAATAGTCATTTCACTACCTAATTCTAACGGTGAATAATCCCCCAAAATTGTCCCACTCCCCCTAGGATAGCATAATCCTCCATATAGGGAATAAGGAGTCCGGCCGAACTCCATATCCGACAGACTAAAAATAAAACAAACATTAGATTAAATTTACTGTGCAAATTACAATCTACACAGTAAATAATCCCCTTATCTCCCAATCAAACACACTTGAATTATTATTGTTATTGATAATCTGTTTGTGTTGGCAGAAAAACATGCATCAGTTGAGTATATATCGATCGCATATAATAAAGAAGAGATTTGGTGTTGTGAGAGAAAGTCGACGTTTGCGATGGAGATTACGTCCAAGGACGAGAGGGGCAGTGCGCCGGTGCTGGACATTGATTCCAAGTCCACCGTCGGTGGCGGTGTTGAAGATGTCTACGGTGAGGATCGTGCGAATGAGGACCAGCCCGTCACCCGTTGGACAATCTCTGTTGCCAGGTTCTCTTCATGATTCACCCCATCTTACTCATCATCGTTTGAATTTTGATCGTGATTGGTGTTGTTTGTTTGTGCTGATTCTAGCATTTTTTATTTTATTTTATTTTTTATTTTAGTAGATCAATAGAATTTATATCAATAACTTGAGGAAATGGTTCAATTTGATACTGGACGAGCTAGGGATGATTTGAATTTTGGCGGATTTGAACTTCTTGAAGACATGCAAATTGTCTAACTTGCAATGTCACATTGCTGTTATCTGATTTTGATGTTGTTGAGACGTTTGTTGGACAATTTTGGTTTTTCTCCTAAGGCTCTGTTTGATTAGAAATAAATAAATTAATAAATTATGGAAAGTAAAAATGGTAGAATGTGAAGTGAAAGAAAAGAAAGGGAAAAAAAAAATTTCTTGTATAAATTTGATTAGGATGAAAATTTTGCAAGAAAATAGGAATTCTAATTATAACTACTTCTATAAACAAATTTAAACCTTGTTGTATTTTTTTGTATTTTTTGCAAGAAACTAGAAATTAGTTACCATTCTTGTACAAGAAAATTTCATGCTAAACAAACTCAGACAATTTTTTTTTTCCCTCACTTTCTACCGTTAAATGGTAGAATGTGAAGTGAAAGAAAAGAAAGGGAAAAAAAAAAATTTTCTTGTATAAATTTGATTAGGATGAAAATTTTGCAAGAAAATAGGAATTCTAATTATAACTACTTCTATAAACAAATTTAAACCTTGTTGTATTTTCTTGTATTTTTTGCAAGAAGCTAGAAATTAGTTACCATTCTTGTACAAGAAAGTTTCATGCTAAACAAACTCAGACAAATTTTTTTTTCCCTCACTTTCTACCGTTTTCATCCTAACCAAACTTAGCCTCAGATTCCTCAAGTTCTCTATCTGTGCGTGTATTGTGTTATACTTGTAGCCCATTTTGGGTTATGAAATGTTGCTGCTGCCCCTGCTTCAATTCATTTTCTGGTTATATGCAATTTCCGCTAATGTAGTATGTTTTAACTTCCAGTTTCTTATTCTGTATTGTTCATCTAATTTTCTCCTAAAATTATGGTGGGTAATTTTCTAATTAGTTGACTCTAAAGATGCATATAACTATACACTAGTTTGTGTATGTATATATGTTATGTCTGGAGTGCCTGCCATTGTTGACCATTGTAATTGTCTTCTGATGCTAATTTATCTTCATTTTTTACCTCTTCATCTTGTACTCCAATGGGTATTCTTTGTTGCGGGACCTACATTACAACAAGGGGCTTGTGTTCACAGAGAAAGAGAGAGATGATCATTGCTTGCTTGGTTTGTTACCACCCGTGGTTATAACTTAACAACTTCACATACCATCTGTATTTTCTATCTTATCACTAGTTAATATGATTCTTGTTGAACTTTTCCTTTTGGGGCTCTATATCAGGTGAAGAAAATGATGCACAATATTCGCCAACATCAAGTTCCACTTCAGAAGTACATGGCCATGATGGACCTTCAGGTGCCTCTTTAACTCACAACAACAACTGCAACTTGTTGATTTGAGCGTGCTTAGATGCTGCTTGGTTATAAATAATTCATTTTCAACTCACATAACAATATGGAATCTGGGATTATTAGCATTTACCCCTTCATTCTTCATTCCAATGCCAGTGTACTTGAGATACTAGAGACAAGAAAAGCATGACGGATTACTTCATTTATTGTAGCCTTTAAAAGAGTTCAAAATGGATGAAAACAAAATGGTAAATGTATAATTCTTTAATTTATGCATTTTTAATTGTTTTGGTTTACAGGAGAGGAATGAGAGGCTGTTCTACAAGCTTCTCATTGACAATGTTGAGGAACTTCTCCCGATTGTCTACACTCCAACTGTTGGTGAGGCTTGCCCGAAGTATGGGAACATTTTCAAGCGCCCTCAGGGTCTTTGCATTAGCTTGAAAGAGAAGTATGATTTTGTTTCACCTGTATTTATGAGGCTTACAAGTTCTGATAATTTTAGTTTCAACTTAAAAAAAAAGTTTCTTGCTTTCACAGAGGAAAGATTCTAGAGGTACTGAAAAATTGGCCTGAGAGGAGCATTCAAGTTATTGTCTCATTGATGGTGAGCGAATTTTGGGACTTGGGGATCTTGGTTGTCAGGTTCGTGTTTTCTTTCTTAATTATCTAAACATTTTACCTTACGTTACAATTCTTACTTACAATCAGCATATGAGAATATTTACAGGACAATTTTTTTTTTAGAACTTCCATATTGACATTTGTTACTAGTGCTAATTTGATACATATTTCTATTTTCAAGTATTAGTTCGATTGTTGAAAATTCTTGTATAAAAGCATTTGTAGCTAATAACATATCAGGGGATGGGGATACCTGTTGGAAAACTGGCTCTGTATACAGCACTTGGAGGAGTTAGACCTTCTGCGATAAGCCTCACTAGCAAATAATATACAGTATTCTCTATGTAGATTCTCACCTTCTTTGAAACCTTTACTTAATTACTCATGAACCTCTTTGATTATAATATGTGTATTTATGTGTGTGCAAGTTTCACTACCATTATGTTTCAAGAAAAAGTACATAACATGGTTTAATTCTAAGCTTGACCATATAATCTTGATCAATGTCTTTTTGCTTGATTGTGCAGTGTTTACCCGTAACGATTGATGTGGGGACAAACAACGAGAAGTTGTTGAAGGATGAGTTCTACATTGGGCTCTGACAAAGGAGGGCAACTGGGAAGGTCCATTGGTTTTGGTATAGCGATCCCGGTTTCCCTTTTCATTGGTTGTTGTGTACATCTCGTTTACATCCTTTACTCTTTGTATTTGAGTCTTAGGTTGTGTTGGGCAGGTGTATAACAGGCTGGTTGAGCTTAGGAACCAAGTGTAGTTGCCCAGATTTTGGCCTTCACGCTCGAGCGAGGACTTTGACGCTCGAGCGGGCCCTTCGTTGTTGTCTGTCCGCTCGAGCGGGGTTTCCAAAGCTCGAGCGTAGTTTTCCATCTTCCAGTATCTCCTCTACAGTGCTATGCACTCGAGCGGGAGTTTGGACGCTCGAGCGAGATGTTGTGTGTGACGCTCGAGCGGGGAGGTTTGACGCTCGAGCGAAGACCTGGTTCTGTAAAAGTTCTGGGAGTGTGTATCCGCCGCTCGAGCAGGATTGTTGACGCTCGAGCGGGAGTCTGTGAGTGACGCTCGAGCGGGGAGTTTGACGCTCGAGCGGGGCGACTTTTATATAAGTCCGAGATCCGACTTTTGGATCACTTTTTCAACTCCTTTTCTCTCTCTTACTTTTCAAAATCTCCATTTGAGAGCTCCTCTCACTAGAACCTCAACTTCTCTCTAGGTATTGATCTAGCTAGGGTGTATTCCTCACCTTTGGTCTTTACAAAAGTTGGGTTGATCGTCGAGGGCTTTACATTGATCCAAAAATTTTGAGTTTTGGAGCACGTTGAGTTTCGTCACCTTCTTCCCTTGAGCTACGAATTTGAGGTAGGGATAACCTACTCCTTACTATGGGTTTTGTCTTTAAAAATTTTGGCATTTTCGATATGTTGGGAGTTGTTGGGTAATTTTGAGAAAGTTCGGGCCTTTGTGTAATTTTACGAAAGTTGGGGTTTTAATCATATAAAACCTAAATGCATGTTTGGCATGGAAAAGTGGAATTAATGTTAAAACATTAATGAAAATGGAACCTAAGGGTTGTGAGTGTTAATTATGGAATATGCCCTAATTACATTGGTTAATTAATTTGTATAATTAATTGTGGAAATGAGGAATTGAATTGAGAATGTTGAAATCGGGAATGTATGGGACTAAAGAGTGTGGTTGGATCATTTATTGCTCGCCTAATTGAAATGTCGATTTAATATCTATTTTGTGCATTTATTTTCTATTTAAGAAATAATTGCTTTGGGCTATCGGTGGAGGATAGTCTTGATTGTTGTAGACAATGCATGATGATAGGCAAACTAAAACTAATCGAGTGAATGTGTCATAGAGTATGATGGTGAATTGAATACATTAATTCTATGTATTGATTGATTGTGTATAGAACCTTGTGTTTATATGCATTGTGTGTAGAGGAGGAGATGGGGGATGTACTCCGCGGTTTAGGGGAAGATGGGGGATGTACCTCTAAACCGGATAGGATTGGGAGGAGATGGGGATGAACTCCGTAGACACAGCTCTAATGCTTGTCTAGAGAAGTGAAGATACAGCTCATAGGCTTATCTTTGAGAAGTGTAGATACAGCTCATATGCTTGTCTAGTGAAGTGTAGATACAGCTCCTATGCTTGTCTAGTGAAGTGTGGATACAGCTTATTGCTTATTTGTTGATGCGTAAGATGTTTATCTGTTGATGTGTTGATATAGCTAATATGCTTATCTGTTAAATAAGAATGGAAAATGGAAAGTGACATAGACTCGTATGTTATGAATGTACGTGATATATGCGGATGTATCGGTGTTGGCCATCTATCAATTGCTAATCTTTTAGTCATTGCTCATAGTTGGTTTAGTATATCTCTGCTGGGCTGTGGCTCACCCTATATGGGAACATCATTTTCAGGTACAGGTAGCATGCCACCTCCAAGGACGTAGCTTGGGAGGCTAGAGATGGGCAGACTTTTGTTGTCTTTTCCCTTTTGATGTATTACATGTATATTCAAGCCAAGGGCTTAATGTGTAAATGAGTTAGTACTCTTTTGTTGTAACCAAATGTTAGCTTGGAAAGCTGTAAGCCTTTAGGGCATTTGCTTTTGTCGTTAACATGTAATACTTTTTGTAATGAAACTCTAATGAATAGAAGAATGTGGAACTTTTATATATATCAATGTATGTCTATATTGATGGGTTTAATGTTATTATTTTGAGGGCGTTACATTTGGTATTTTATTGCTTGCTGACAGTCATGAAAAGCATTCTATTTGGTATTGAGCTAGTTTTAGAAAATTGATCTTCAGGAATATGCTGACCTTCTTCATGAATTCATGGCTGCTATCAAGTAGAATTATGGTGAAAAAGTAGTCGTACAGGTGCACACCATCTCAGTTGTAGCTTTAGTTTGAATATTTTCCAAGCCTAATCTTGTTAATGCAGTTCTAATATTTGTTTGATTTCTTACCATCACTTTACAGTTTGAAGATTTTGCAAACCACAATGCTTTTGAGCTGCTAGAGAAATATGGTTCTACTCATCTTGTCTTCAATGATGATATCCAGGTATATGGCAACATGGTGGTGGATCTGGTTACTGACTGTTTTGGAATTCCCCCCCCCCCCCCCCAAAAAAAAAAAAAAAAAAAAAAAAAAACTATTGCAGGGGACAACATCTGGTTCTTACAGGTCATATTGCAGCACTGAAGTTACTTGGCGGTACCTTGGCTGAGCACACATTTTTATTTTTTGGTGCTGGGGAAATAAGAATCTAATTATTACTTTACTTCTTTCATCTCATCTATATTTTGGTAGTCTAAGGAAAATCAAAAACTAAATATATGGGCCATGGGAAAGCGTAGGGCGAAATATTGGGCACCCAATGACTTCAGTGGAAACCTATTTATGTGTTCACACTCTATACCTATTTTCTGTCTACACACTCCTGCAGAAGAATTCTCTCTCTTACTCATATTGGGGCCTAATTCATTCTGATTGTTTTACAGCAGTCCCAGTTTTGAGCATAGTGATAGTTTTGCATTTCACCCCTCCCTTTCCCCCTCCCAAAAAAAAAAAAAAAAAATTGAGAGGGAGGGGTGACCATTGGTTCAGTGGTAAAACCTTGGCCTAATAACCTTGAGGTTATGGGTTCAAGTCTCGGGGCAACCATTTTGTGCACTATCTCAAAAGTTAGGTGTGTACCCTATCTTTTCCCTCCCAAACACATTAATGTATACTAATTGGGCAGCGGCCCTTTTTTTTTTAGAGAGAGGGATGATGTTTTTGGTTGGGCATTTTAATTTTTAAATTCCTTTTGGGTCATCCCTTTCCAGGAGCCTGCTTCTAGATCATCAAGCATCGGCCATCAACAGAAGAATGCATAGTCAAATTTCTTTTTATGTATCTCACTCTAGTCATCTGAATTGTAGGCTGGAACTGGAATAGCAGAACTTATAGCTCTTGAGATGTCAAAACAGGTAATCATTTACTTCCATGTGGACGTTGTCTTCGGATTATTTCTTAAAGTACATCTAGAGCAACCCTCCATGTGGTTGCTTGGTGATTGTCTTCTTATGTTCATCTGTTATAGACCAAAGCTCATTTGGAAGAGACGCGTAAGAAGAACTGGCTTGTGGACTCAAAGGTAGTGAAAGTTTCTGTTAGATTTGCATAAAAGAAAGAAAAGAATGAGAGGAAGAAAAGAGAGAGCACTGCTGCTATGTTTTATTTCTCACACCTAAACATATTAGGGTTACACATACTTATAATAAAAGACTAAGGAACAAATGACATAATTACCCTTACACACTAATACTTAACACTTTCCCTCAAGTTGGTGCAAAGTATCTCTCATGCCCAACTTACAGCAAATGGGATGGAAAACTTTACTACTAAGACCATTAGTAAAGACATCAGTTAATTGATCTTCAAACTTCACAAAAGACATATATATGAAACCCTTATTCAATTTCTCCTTGATGAAATGTCTGTCAATGTCAATATGCTTTGTTTGTCATGCTGAACAGGATTGTGAGCAATACTAATGGTAGCTTTGTTGTCACAGTACAATGTTAATGGTTCACTGCAGACAAACCCAATATCATTCAATAAGGACTGGAGCTGCATCAATTCACATGTACCATACTCCATAGCCCTGTATTCTGCTTCTGCACTAGATCTGGACACCATTCTTTGTTTCTTACTATGCCATGTGACTAAATTCCCCCTTACAAATGCACAGTAACCGGAGGTAGATCACCTGTCATCTATAGAACCAGCCTAATCAACATCTGTGAATGCCTCCAACCTTAAGTGACCATTATTGGAAAATAAAATCTCTTCTCTAGAAGCAGATTTAAGATACCTCAAAATGTGATACACTGCATCCAAATGAGGGACACGAGGCTTATGCATAAATTGACTTACTATCCCAACCGCATAGGCAATATCTAGACGAGTGTGGGATAAATATACAAGTCTTCCCACAAGTTGCTGGTACCATAAGATCACCAACACCGCTACAAAGATGGTGTTTAGCCTTAATTGGCGAATCAGCAGGTTGGCAGCCTAACATACTAGTTTCCTCAAGAAGATCTAGGATATACTTCAGCTGAGATATAAAGATGCCTTTGTCAGATTTGGCAACTTCACTCTTAAGAAAGTACCTCAACAAACCAAGGTCTTTTATCTCAAATTCCTTGGCCAACATCTTAAGATGTGTCACTTCTTCCTCATCATTATCTATCACAACTATGTCATCCACATATACTATGCATGACGTTTGACAAACATTATGTGATTTGCATTGCTTTGCTTATACCCGAATCTCAACATAGCCTTTAGGAATCTATCAAACCAAGCTCGAGCAGACTGTTTCAAACCATATAACGCCTTTTTCAACCTACAAACTTTCCAACTGTAGACTAAGATAAGAATCTTGGTGGTACATCCATATATACCTCCTCCTCCAAATCACCATGGAGAAATGCATTCTTCACGTCTAATTGTTGTAAAGGCTATCCCAAATTAGCTGCACATGAGAGAATAGCTCGAATGGAATTCATCTTTGCCATAGGAGCAGAGGTTTCTTGGAAATCAATTCCATGTGTTTGAGTAAACCCCTTGGCCACTAATCGTGCTTTGTACCGTTCAATTGTTCCATCTGCTTTCTGCTTGATAGTGAACACCCACTTACACCCTACAAGCTTTTTGCCACTAGGAAGATGAACCAATTCCCAAGTGTTATTCTTGGTTAGAGCTTGCATCTCTTCTACCATAGCTACTTTCCACTAAGGATCATTGATAGCTTCCTTCCAATCCTGGGCAATACATGTAGAAGACAAAGACGGAACAAAAGCATGATATGTAGAAGACAATGAATCATATGACACAAATTTAGAAATAAGATGTTGAGTACAAGCCCTAACCCCCTTTCTAAGAGCAATAGGAAGACTTGAATCATTGACAACAGGACTCTTAACTACAGGTAGAGGAATAGATTGAGATGCATTACCTGGAACTGGCGTGAGGGATGACGATGGGTCTGGTGGCATAAGGGAAGCTTGCTCTTTCGGACGCCGAGAATAAGTCTTAAGATCAACATTGTCCAAATGACCACCAACGTTAGGCTCCACATCAAGAGAACTATTAGGCTCCCCCTCACCACAAATAACAATCAACTGACTAGGAAGGAAAAAAGACAACTCGTGCTGATAGGCCATCTCCTCATCCGCAATCTCATCCATACCACTACTACTCTCCCTCTGAGGAGATGGCAGAGGAGAAGGAAAGAAGGATGCAGATTCATGTAAAGTGACATCCATACTAACATACACTTTGCGAGTGTGAGGATCATAGTATTTATAACCCTTCTGAGTAACAGAATAACCAATAAAGACATAATGCACAGCCTTAGGATCGAGTTTTCCATGAGTACGAAGTTGTAAATGAACAAAACAAACACACCCAAACACCCGAGGAGGAAGAGAAGAGGTGGGATATGCTACAGGAAGCAGTTGAAGAGGAATTTAGAATTTGAGGACACTGGAAGGCATACGGTTGATAAGGTAAGTAGCGGTAAGAATAACATCACCCCAAAATGACTTATGGACATTCATGGTAAACAAGAGAGAGCGAGCAACTTCAAGATGGCCATGCTTGCGTTCGGCAACCCCATTCTGTTGAGGAGTACCAACACAATTAGTCTGATAAAGAATGTCATGCTCCGCTAGGTATGCTAAAAAAACTCCATCAACATACTCAGTCCTATTATCACTACGAAGAGTTTTTATTTGAGCATTGAAAAGATTGGTCACCATTTTATGAAAAGTTTGGAAACAAGAAAAAAACTTCACTCTTAGTTCGAAGCAAGTAAATCGAAGTCACACGGAAATAACAATCAATAAATGTAACAACCCATTGATACCCAGAAGTAGAAACCATAGGGGAAAGGCCTCACACATCGGTATGAATAAGCATAAAAAGGAAAGTACTTTTATTAATTAAAGGGTAACAAGTACGTTTATGCTTTGCAAGCTCACAAGCATCACAACCAAAAATACTCCTAGGACAATCACGAACTAAAGAAGGAAAAAGTTTCTCTAAAACACTAAAGGAAGGATGACCCAAATGGCGATGCCACTGATGAAGGAGATAAAGCGGAGAGCCAATAGTGCACTTGAGAGCCTGAGATGGGACGACAGAAGGAACGACATCCAGAAACGACATCCAGAAAATACAGCCCATCTTGTGCTCTACCATTGCCAATTGTTTTCCTCGTAGCCAAGTCCTGAAAGACATAATGAGTAGGAAAAAATGACACTGAGCAATTTAGAGAAGTAGTAAGGTCTCGCTTGGGAAGTAATAGTTTTAGCCTGAAGGCAAAAAGTTACTAAAAAAATCAAAAAACTTAAAACCTGTTGGAATTAGGAAATTGTGATATTATAATTATGGTAGTGTTGGAAAAAGGAAAGAGTGATATTGTAATTATGGTAATGTGTATAAAACCAATGATTGTGTCAATCACGGATTTAATACATTTCTTATCTTCGTTTCCTATTTTGTTTGTTTCCTATTTTGTAATATTGTTTCATTATAAATACAAGGCTCTACCTCATTCATAGGTAAGCCAAATTATTCTTTTCATTCTTTTTGGTATCAGAGCCAAAACACAAAAACCCTAGACCACCCCCTCCTCTCTATTGGCCCCTGTTCTTCACTGCCCAACAGTTTCTTCATCTTCTTTCTTTTTCCTTTAGCAGCCAACAGACCTCCTCTCCCTTCTAGACCACCCGCAGCCTAACCCACCAATCCTAGACCACCTGAAACCACTTACCCACCCTCCTATACCCCTCGGTAGGGCTGTATCACACCTGCCGAGGGCCTTGTTGCTGCCAACCAGGTCTCATCCTGGCCTAGAGCATTTTGACTAGGTCTTCCCCTAGCCTAGATCTGTTCGATACCCTCTTTAGGATGATTTGAATCTTTTTTGTCCCTTTTATAGGGTGTAGTGCTGATGCTTTAAGCACTTTAGCTGTCATGATCCGAACCCGCCCCTATGGGTTAAGGACATAACCGGCCAGTAATCCTGAGATTACCTACGGCCTCAAACCAAAACAGACATAACTCATCAGAGTAAAGGGGCCAAACGGAAGCAAAAATTTAAAACTTTGTCCATAGAGCCGTGCTTATATGCACATCAAACAAACTATACACATATATGTTAACAACCCACGACAAAACACAGTACCATAAAATCCTTTACAGACAGGATCATTCAAACTGAGTCAACCCATATCAAAACTATATACAGATATCCATAAAGTCCTAGCCAACAAGACAAAATATAAATACATAGCAAAATGGCAAGGATGGGTCTCGTGCGTGAGACACAAGGCTGACTCTCCAACACTCACGTTGTTCCTGACCGACTTCACTGGGGCTAGGTTTGGACTTCTTTTGGCTCACCTACAAATACATGAACGAGTGTGAGCGATAGCCCAGTGAATAATATCAAATATGACAGTTACATAACAATATGTAGAACGACATGCTCCGAACGGCCTTGGGCCCAATTCATGTTTCTACTTAACATATGTACACTTATACAAAATTTAGTTCGAGTGACTGAAATTTCAACATACTGGCCTTTGGCCCATTCGGATTCCCATTCTTATCAAAACGGCCTTCGGCCCATTCATTTTTGTCAAAATGGCCTTCGGCCCATACATTTATGTCAAAACGGCCTTCGACCCATACATTAGTATCTAAACGGCCTTCGGCCCACTCATTCATATTCAAAACGACCTTTGGTCCACTCATTCATATTCAAAACGACCTTTGGTCCACTCATTTGCGCCGAAACGGCCTCTGGCCCATATACTTTCGTCAAAACGACCTTCGGTCCGTTTATTCCTATCAAAACGCCCTTCGGTCCATTCGTTTCTATCAGGACGACCTTCGGTCCATGCAGTTCTTATCAAAGCGACCTTCGGTCCATTCATTTATTCATGTCAGACTTTTGCCCACAATCCCAATTAGCAACTCATAAAGCTTATAAAGGAATAAACAATAGGACATTGACAAGATTTCGAATATCGATATTACTCACAGTGATCGGCCTGTGGATTTGCCCTGGAACTTGACCCTACACATTTCATGAACACAAAAGGGTCACTAACAGT